CTGGTATTCACTGGTCTAGATGTTCTGGTCACCACCAGCTCTTCCAGGCTACTTTGAAGGCTGAGATAGGCAATATGTCTGCCAGCCTGGCTCTTTCATTCCATACACATGAAAATTGTTTGTCTTGCAACATCTATAGTGTTCATACACCCAGTTCATCAGGCAAAACATCAAAAGGCAAAGAGGAAACCGTGGGTTCTGAGAATTGCCTTCCTCAATCCCACACACCCACACCCCTTCTCCTAGTACTCCACAGGGCTGTTGCTCCCTACCTCTGGGACTTCTGGTAGAAAAGGGGAGACCTGCAGCTTAAAAGGAGACCTGACCAAAATGTGTCCACAAGAGATCTGTCAGTACATGGTAGAGGAAATAACTAAGGTGTGTTGCTGGCTCTTCAGACAGTTTTTCCAACTAGAGGGTAGGTTCTGACATTTCATGTCATGGGTCTTTTGGTTAGTTTAATTGCTGAGCAAGACAAAGTGAGAATTAGGGTCCATAAGGGAGACACTTCATTAATAGCAATATATTGGTAACTGACAGGACTTCTTACTCATTCAACATCTGATATGGCAGGCACTGTCTAAGGTCCTGGGAATAGGAAAGGGAAAGGAACCAAACCTTTCCCTGAAGGCACAGGCACTTGTTCCTAGAGTCATTCACTCAGTCAGCATTGGATGCCAGTCAAGATGAGCTCTGAGCGTAAGTAGTGAACATAGTCCCCAGAAGGAAGATCTGACCAGATATCACTTATATGGATAGGACTATCCTTGACATAGCAGAAGCTTCCCTCTCACCATGTCCTAGAATCCAGCTTTTATTTTTCCAATGTGATTCATGAACCTGAAATAAGAAGCAGATTATACTAGAAGCTAATGTTCTAGCATCAGCTTGAAAACCCTGGTATTAACCCAAAAGCCCTTTACTGAGATTTACTTTATTCATCATTCATACTCATATGACATTGAGTATCTTCCTTGTACCATGCCAGTGTCAGGAGCTAGGAATTGAAAGATAAGCACAACCTGGCCCCTGGCCTTGGGTGTCTAGTAGATATAAAATTTATGTGCCAACATGCAATTATAATCCAATATTGTCTATGCCCCAGAACCTTTAAATACAGGGAGAGTCTGGGAGACTTGAAAAAGGCTCCCAGAGGAAATGGTATCTGAGCTGAGTTTTGAAAAGGAATTGTTCAGGGGTAGAAGCAAGAGGAAGACTTTCTAGGAGGAGGAGAGAGTATGTGAAAAGGCACAGGGGCTTTCCAATATATGAAAGAATATCCTCTGATTGAGAGACATTGAATTTACAGTATAGGATTGATAGAGACAGAGAGAAGAAAATGGGTGGGAGAACTATTGGCTGATAATGCTAAGATAGATTGGGGCCAGAAAGTTACAGCTGCCTGAAGAAGGCAGTATCCTCTATTATTATGTACTACATGAATGAGTAATTTTTGCCTTCTAAAATAGAAACTCAAACTCATAGAGATATAGATGAGCAGCAGTGTGTTACAGCTATGAAATCTACTGCTATGCCTATGGCCAATTTTAGCACACACACACATGCCAAGTTATACCCTATGTCTTTAATCAAAATGCTTTGCCCTCAAGACGACCTAGATACATGGTGGAGAACCAACACAGTTCAAGTGAATGCTGGGAAAGATGGCCAAATAAGGCATGTCACCCCAAAACAATAAAAGGAATGGCAGCCAACACTGGATACTGAAAATATGTTGTATCAAACTCTACTCTTGTGTTCAGTCAGTCCATCATTTGACCCCTGGAAAATGGCAATCCTTAAAACAAAGTGCCATCCATGCCCAGAATTTCTCTGAGCTCCCCTGACCTAGCATGTCTTATCACTGGTCTTAGGGCCCATGAGTTGAGGATGGGGTCAGAGGCCCCAGGGCATGGGTTGGGGGGGAATCTTCAGTTTCTCCTGCCTCCCATATCCCCAGAATTCTCCCATCCCAGGACTTCCTTCACATGCTGAGAGATGTGAATTAATGGAATAGAAGATGAAAATAAGGAGCTCCTGAACATTGTTTTTCACTGAATTAAATCCAGAGGGCATAAAAGACCTTACGTTGTGAATAGCAAAGCCCCAGAGCATCAGATGTCTGAGTGCCACGGAGCGTGATGAAACCCAAGAGGGGGACGCTCCCCAGACCCATGACCACGACTCTACCATCTCCTGGCACCTCTTTCCCTCACAGACAGTTTGGACAGGTGGCAGCTTCTGGAGTGTTAGTCCAAGAGGTGGCATCGCTCCCAGCTCTGTAGCCTCTGTGCTTGAAGTGCTGAAGAGCTGACCTCCACCAACGACTCAATGACAACAAGCCAGAGACGTCAATAAAACTCATTACAGGCGATAGCAGCCTTTAATGCAGTCATGTGGTTCAGAGAATTAATTCCTCCCACCCCTCCTAGGCAGCTTTAGTGAAATGAAAGTGGGGATTGACATCGTCACGAATTTCCCATTTCCTGCCTGTGTTTATCAGGAATCTAGGTCATGACAGCTCCGTTCATTCACTCACGTCCTCACTGGTTTATGCCTTAGGAGGGCAGAGCCTGAAGTTTGCAGGCCCCCTCCTTTCTCTTCCTTCTCTGTGCCTCTGCAGAACAGACGGTGTCACAAGGACAACCACACTGACACTCTGGCCTCAAGTGACTTTAGCACCTAGTCAAGCAGCTGCTTCTGGGCCCTGGTGGTGTTCACACTGGCTGTCATTTGCAAGGGGATGATTCACGTGACTGCCCTCAGCAGAGGACCGGTTGTCCAGCATCCGCCCAGAAATCTGTTTGTGAATTTCACCTTTTTCCAGTGACCTCTGAAGCTCACCTAGGGTGGCTGCCAGGCTGCCATATACTGACTGGTCGTTCACAAGCAAAGCCTATCCTCCCCTTTCTATCCAATCGCTCAAGCATGAGTCAGAGGGTTTTCCTGAATGTTACTAAAATTTGTAAAAAATCATTTATATCAATGTTCCTAATCTAAGAATAATTTTTTCATGAATATATGAGATCAGAGCTTATATTTTATTGAAAAAAAAGTTTTAAGCTTTTTTGAAAGAAAAAATAATCCCAGCATCTTAACATGATTTTCATTTCACATAATTTGCCTCCAGTCTCTGTTCACAGGTAGACATTGTTCATTATTGTGATCAGCATGTAAATAACATTCATTTTTCTTGATTTTTGTCACATCAGATCAGTTCTTCATAATTATTATACTGAATGGCTGGCTGAATATACTTCTCTGCTCACTTGTGGTTTCTTTACTTGTTTACCCAAAGTGGGGAGGACATTTATTTGGTTCTCATATTATGCTCTTACAGGTAATAATGTATACAGTTTTTGCTTGGTTTTGAGAATTTTAGGAATAATCCCAGGAATGAGATCCCCGGTTCTTGATAAGGATTGCCTGAATGGTTTTTTTAAAAAGATAACACCAATTTATGATATCACTGTAGGGCTCATGACAAACTAAAAGACCCAAGGGAGATGCCAAGCTTAGTGGAAAAAATATTTTTGTTTCGTTTGGTGAGCTCTTTTTTGTTTCATTTTAATATTATTGGCCTTCACTGGGCAGACCTGAATGGGGGCCTGAGAGAGAAGAAAAGAAAATGAGGATGGGGTAGTTTTACAGAAGCTCCCATTCTTGACTTGGCATTCTTTGCTTCACTTGCTCCTACTTCAGGCAGGGTGAGGAGGCCGAAAGAGTGTGAGATCCTGGTAGGTCTGGGCTCAGAACAAGAGCTGTTCCTTCCTCATGAGTCAGATACAGACAAACCTCATGAGAGCCCAAATAGCTGGATGGTTGACTTTGTCAGGAGAGGCATCCAGCTAATGCTAAGCCTTCAGAATTCACTTGGCAAGAACTCTTTAACCCATTTGAAATTCTGAAATCTGGTGGCATTGACCTCATCTAGACAGATGAGGTCCATCTTCTTTCTGGGGCATTCTTGCTGTGCATGAGTGGCCAAAGGCAATCCTCTGATAGATGTTAGGCAGAGAGTGATGTGGAAAGCTATGCCCTCCTGAGAAATTATGCAATATCTGTGTGTTATAACAATGTAGAGCACCAATGTGGATACACTTGGCCCTTCTCCAGATTAGGAGCTGGTAGGGTGTTGAGATGTGCCATAACTGTCATCTTGCAAAGATTGTATCCTGCTGACTGCTCAAACTAGTAGAATAATCATTGTGCCCAATACTGTACAGCACATAGAATTAAATTCTTAAGACATACATACATATTAGACATGACAGTGTCTCGGCCAAGGTCATACAGGTACAATGAAATGGCAGTGGTGTTTAGTCCTTGGCCCTTTGTGTCTGACTCATAGCCTGCATTCAACAGGCACTCACCAATGAAGGAACCCAGGCATTCTGACACTGGGCCCTTGCTTCTCCGTTATACTCTGCAGCCTCTTTGGATAAAATTTAAGTTTTGTGTGGCCTTTGCTCTACAGTAGCTTAAGGAACAAAGGGCCTAAAGATAATGAGTTCACCCACAAGCCTCATGGACTCCCATGTAGCTTTCATGTTTTAGGAAGCTCAGACCCACATGGACATCTGTGTATTTGGGGTAATCAATGATAGAGCAGCCCTTAATCTGCTGGTTAGGGAAGAGTTTACTATTTCTCAAGGCCTCCCTGGACCTGGAAAGGAGATGCTGAAGAAACAAGAGTGGCATGGCTTTGGGGCTATATGGCTTTGGACAGTCATTTAACTTCTCCAAGCCCTTGCTATAAAAGAGAAATGATCACACTTGTGCAAGGATTATCTTGAGAATTGAACGAGATGGTTCATGCAGACTTCCCCTGAATAGAAGGAAAGTGTTGTGAACCTTGGAAAAAAAGGATGCTCCTTCCCATCAGCCTCACTGACAAGCCCCTCTTGTGTGGGCTTATTCCACGTTCAGTCCGCAACCATTTGTAACTGTGGAACGAATGTACCCATTCTTAACGTGGTACTTTCTCTCATCCCTTGCAGGAGGTGCTTGAACTTGCTTTCTCGATCTTGTATGACTCAAACTGCCAGCTGAACTTCATAGCTCCTGACAAACACGAGGTAAGGGTCTCAGTGGGGTTAATTTGTGAGAGAGTGTCACATTTTCTCTAGAAGAGCAAGCAAGAGAGAAATATTGGAAATAAATTTCATTTAAAAAAAAAAGCCTGTCTAAGAAAAATCATGAACAAAGGAACATCTTGTTGATTTGGAATAGAATGGAGACTTCTTTAAAAACTGCCCATTATAGGGGCGCCTGGGTGGCACAGTCGGTTAAGCGTCCGACTTCAACCAGGTCACGATCTCGCGGTCTGTGAGTTCGAGCCCCGCGTCGGGCCCTGGGCTGATGGCTCAGAGCCTGGAGCCTGTTTCCGATTCTGTGTCTCCCTCTCTCTCTGCCCCTCCCCCATTCATGCTCTGTCTCTCTCTGTCCCAAAAATAAATAAACGTTGAAAAAAAAATTAAAAAAAAAAACTGCCCATTATAACCAATTCAACCTCTTACTAGCTCGACCAGTAGTTCATGGTAAAGAAAAAGAATGTACAAATGCTTCATACTCAGCAAGGACATAATTGTCGATTTGAAGAAGAATCAGCCCTGGTCAAGCACTGGTTTTCACTGAGTATTTAATTTTTAGTCAGGATCTTCCCAAGATAAACGTGTCTCTCTTCTTTAAAACATTTGATGAAGTAGGTTTTCTACCATGTTTCTTTAAGTTATTTTAAGAGTTTTGGGCTGTCTCTGCTGTTGGAATTTTATTTTTGAGATGATTTTATTCCTTTTTGACATCTTGTTATATGTATAATTTGTTTCTCTTCTTGAAGCACGCTGTCAGCTATATTTAAAATATTTAGCATAGATCTAGGAAAATGTATTTGTAAGGTGAAATAGCAGCTATGGTTGATTTAACTTGTTCTCTTGTAAACCAGAGCCCAATATTATGTTTGAAACTCTTATTTTTAGATGATACCATTCAAATTTTTGTTTTACATACGGTTGCATAAACAGCTTTTAGAAAGGAAGGGAACATTTTAATAGAACCTGACTTTTGTTTCCCATCTCCCCTAGGAGACTCTGCTCATTTAGAAGTTATTCAGTATCTAGTTTTCACTGGTTTAAAGCTTTTGCATAAAATTGTACATCCCAAAGAGAGAGGAAAGATTAGATGCAAATCCTGCATTTAGAATGGTGCTTAAATGTAATTCTGTGTTACTTGACATTTAGTTTGCAAAAGGGTATGACTTTGTCTTCATCTTTCTGAAAATAGATACTGTGTCCTACCATTTCTCTTTTTAAACAAAATTGTGGTTATTCACAGGCCACCATATTTAAGACATATACAGCTTATACATAGTAGTATAGAAAACTGCTTTAAAATGTAGAAATGTGGATGTTATTTAAATCTCTGCAAGGCTGTTTTCTCCAGTTTGCATTAATTCCAGATAAGGATAAATGTTCTGGGACTGCCAAATTTTATTTGTAACTGCCACATTTTATTGACATAGTGAGGAGAAAAATGCCATACACTTGTGAATACTTTTGCTGTCTTCAAATCTCTTTCATATGTATTACCTCATTTTATTTGCATCCTCGGTCAATAAAACAGAACATTCTATTACAGGTATCTTCATTTACCACATAAGGAGAGTGGCCTCCCAAAATCGAATACCTCAACATTAGTAAAGATGATAGTACTTACAACCAGTGTGGATTGCCCTGTGCCAGGCATCCTCTGTACTTCCCCTCACTTAATCTTCACATACCTCTGAAAGAAACAAACTGTGATTATGCCCATTCGATAAAGGAGGGAAGTGAGTCACAAAGAGGTTAAGAAAGTTGTCCAGAGTCAAACAAGTAGTACATAACAGAGCTGGAATTTAAACCACAGGACCCTTGCTCCAGAAACCCCGTCTCCCTGGCCCCTGCACTGTGTAGCCAGGAAGGCAGAGAGCAGGACCTGAACTCAGCTTCCTGCCAGTGCCTGTCACCAAGTGTCAGCAGTTAATCAACTCGGGGCCAATCTGGTCTCCCCTATACCTCCACCCACACCCAATTGCCCCCTCCAGATTCCTATCAAAGTAAATCCAATTATAGTGTTTATTTGCAAATATTCCTGTGTGCATCTCTGAAAATAGCATCCATTTGGAAACCTAACTACAATACCACAATTACACCTGACTTTTTTAGACATTTTGATACTACCATCTGTAGTCGGTTTTCAGATTTCTCCACTTGCCTCGTGTATGTATGTGTGTGTGTGAGTGTGTGTGTGTTTCTTTTATACTTTGTTCCGATCAGAATCCAAATAAGGTCCATGCATAGAAATTGATTAACTTGTTTCTTCAGTTTCTTTGAATCTGTAGGTTCCTCTCTTTCTCTCTATCTCCCTGTCTTATGAGCATCTGCTTTTGCTTTTTTTTTTCCTTTGCAATTTATTCATTGAAAAAAAACAAGTCGTCTGTCTGGTAACCTTGCTGAGAGTCTAGATTTTGCTTTATTATAAGTATGTGTATTAGTTTGCTGTGGTCACTGTTGCAAAAAATTACCACAAATTTAGTGGCTTAAAACAACATAAATGTATTACCTTACAATTCTGGAGGTCAGAAGATGCACATCTTTGGGGGCTAAAATCAAAGTATTGGCAGGCCTGAATTCCTTTATGGAGGGCCTAGGGGAAAATCTGCTTCCTTGCCCTTTCCACTTTGGGAGGCCACCAGCATTCCTTAGCCACGGCCTCCATTTGTCCATGGAGGTTGAGTCTCCACAGCACTTCATTCCAACCTCCTCCTTCTCTGTAGTCAGAACTCCCTCTCTCACTCACTCCTATTCTGTTTCCCTCTTCTATGTTTTAAGGACACTTGTGATTACATTAGGCCCACCTGGACAATCTCAGATAACCTTTCTACTTGAAGATCAGTTGATTAGCAATTTTAATCCCCTTTGCTGTGTACCCCAACATCCTCACAGGCTCCAGGGATTAGGACATGGTTGCCCTTAAAAGGAGAGTTTATTCTGCCTACTGCAACCTGCACTGTTACTTCTCATGTTTATCTGTCTCCTGTGTTTCCTGTTCAGTGATAGTTAGAGGATTAATCTAACTCAAGCACAACTTTAAGCAACAGTGGTGTTGTATTTGGTTGTCTATCTTTCGGAGATGTTAGCAGCCATTGATGATTATTGCCTAGATCCTTGGACCCATTAGACATTGGAAAAGGTTAATATCTCAATTCTATCATTCCCTTCTCATTTATTAGCGGGAAACTGGCCCCATATTTGAGGTAATACAATTTACATATAATAGGCAGGATAAATACTTGATTCCCCTTATTAGTCTTCAAAATAATTCCTCATCTTCCAAATGAGAACAATGAAGTGTTTTGGCGTTTGAGCATCATTATAAAGTAATGGATGTAAACATATCAGTGTTTTAATAGGTTGCAGTTATTATCATTATCAATGTCCAAATTATCCTATCTAGAGAAAGTCGGAGCACCTTCTGGTTGACTTTTGTGTCCAACTGACATGACCCCAGATGTCTTTGACAACTTTTCAGTCATTTTGCCATGACAAAATATTCCAGGCTCCTCTCGCATGTTTTCTGCTTTCTCTCTTTGGAGTCTTGGTCCCTTTTTGGTAGAAAATGGTATTTAGCAACCAGAATCTGGGCATTAGGTGTGCTTACTATTTCTTGGTTCATCATTATTTTTAGGTCTTTTTATGGGCAAGGCTAAGAGCTATGGTGTTTTTTAAAAGACAAAATACATTGTAAGTTCATCTTGATACTTCAAACTCAGATTCTGTACTACAGAGTTTTTATTTATTGGTTGATGTACTTTTCAATAAAATTTTCTGTGCCTGCTGCTTCTCAAAAGAAAGGCGCCACAGAAGTATTCCTGTGGGCTACATTAATCTGTACTAGGAAGCTAGCCAGGACTGGCATGGCTGTACAAAAAGCAGTAATCCCAGCACTTAGGGATTTACAGCGTTCGAGCTGGAAGGAGCCTTAGAGAGCATGGAGTTCAGTGGTACCAGTATCTGGAGGTATATCAGAATTCACTGGAAGTTTTTCTGAATAAAATTTACTTACCCAAGATATGCAAGTTCATGATCTCCAGGGTAGGACCTCAGTATCTATTTTTGTCAAAGCTATTTATGTGGAAATGGATGTTTAGATGAGTTCAGAATCTATCTAAGGTATTACTGAGGACATTAATACTTACAGAGATCTCTTAGCGCTCAACTGATATTTAGATGGGTTAAATGCTTTGGCAGAGATCACATAGCCAAGGCAAAGTCCTACAGTTCAGGGCTGCACTACTAAGACATACAACCTCATAATACAGCCATGGTGCTTCTCCTCAGCTGAGAAAGTGGTGCCATCGGTGGGTACCATGGTGAGACTTCCATATCACTGTGACTTAAGATTTGTAAAGTCCTTGCAGTCTTGTAGTACCTTTTATGTTGAGATATGTTCTATTCCTCACCACAGCCCAGGTAACCACACTGCAAAGGACAAGCTAAGTAGGGTCTGGAATTGTCACTTGACTGAGTGAGGGCAGGACAAAGGGGAATCTAGAGCATGTTCTAGAAGGAAGCCTAGTCTGACAGTAGGAGCAGAGCAGTTGGTATCACAGAGATCCTCCGTAGGACTAGAATATCCTAAAAGGTGAGAGGAACACAGCATCCAGAATGCAGGCGGTTTTCTCAGATTCTGGCAGCAGAAGCTCGTCCTTCCACCAGGTATCATGGCTCTAATACCACGTCCCCAGCTCACAGCCCCTGGGAGGGAAGCCGACAAGAACAAAGCAGGTCCTCAGATAAACAAGGTACAGTTTCTTCCCTCAAGGAGTTCACAGTCAACTGGAGAAACAAAGAGCATAGTTCCTTTTAATGAGAAAGGAAGAATAAAATTCTTAGTTCGGTGCTCTGGAGGGCCTTCCCAGAAAAGCCACGTCCCCAGGAACCAGGCTTCCGAGATATGGAGGAGAAAAGCTCTGGAAACTGAAGACTCAGGCAGAAGAGACAGACAGCCAACCCACCTCCCATGAAAATCACCCAATAATTTTAGCCATTTTGTCCACCAGACATTGGGCAGCACTTTTGCTGAGAAATGCAAAGGTGGGACTACCTTTGGCTCCAGGGCAGGTGTGGACTGTCATAGTGAGTGTTAGGAATCACGTAGGAGAGGCAGAGATTAGCCACTAGACTAGGAACCATGCTTGTAGTCAGGAAAGAAGCAAGCTCAATGTAATGCCGAGCGCAGTAGTGTTGGAATACATTGTACCAAAAGCTTAAAATCAAACTCACTGGTGGGATGTTAGAGACGTCTTGTAGCAAAGTCATGCAGATCCGAAATCCTCCTGCTATTATGTAAGAAGGCATTATTTGCATGGAAGCATGCAGACACTAGAGTCAGATTGCCTGGGTTCAAATCCCACTACCTGCTACCAAGTTACTCAGCCTCTCAGGGCCTTGGTTCCCTTGACTGCAAAACAGAGATGATAACAGAAGTGTCAACTCTATGAAAGGATGATCTAGGCAAAGCACCTTCTCCAGAGCCTAGCACATGTTGAATAATCAGTGTTAACCATTGTTACCACACTTGTGATTGTCATCAGTAGTTACACTTGTCGCCTCCTTTTCCACCAGTACTGTATCTGGACAGATGGGCTGAATGCGCTGCTGGGGAAAGACATGATGAGTGAGCTGACCCGGAATGACTTGGACACCCTGCTCAGCATGGAAATCAAGCTCCGCCTCCTCGACCTGGAAAACATTCAGATCCCCGACGCACCTCCACCCATCCCCAAGGAGCCCAGCAACTATGACTTCGTCTATGACTGTAACTGAAGTGGCCGGGCCCAGAAGCACCCCCTCCAAAACTGGAAAATCTAGCTAATGGGAGAGAAGAATGAAAACACACCCACGCCTTGGAACCCTCTCGCGGTCAAGAGAAGCTGTGGGTCAACACTTTCTTTGGCCTCACCTCTAGCCCCAGCGTTCTTCTGCCCCTACCTGGCATCCTGCTCACTGCCCTGATTCTGTTTCTAGACTCCACTGCTTTAGGTCACTTCCCATGCTACAGTCTACTGGTGGGAGCAGAGCAAAACCCACCGCCAATAAGAGATCCAAAGGGCCCTTCCGTCCTATCCCCCATCAGGCACATCCTCCCTCCCCGGAATGTGCAAGCCGGCAGCTCCAGACTGCCCCCAAACCTGCCCTCCAGACGGAAGGGAGTGCCCCAGTGCTTGCATCTGGAAGAAACAGCCTAGCTTCTCGAGAAGACCAAACACCACCTCCTCGTTCCCTTTCTCTCTAGAGTCCGCTCACACCACCAGTTCCGTGTGAATTGAAATAGCTTCCAAATCCCTTCCCTCCTCCGTCCAGGCCTTTGCCTCGTGCTGTTCCTCTCTGGTCCCAAGAGCAGCAGCAGCAGCCTCGTCCTAGCTTTCGCCAGCACCGGGTCTCCCGGACACAGTCCCAGGTCCCATGCCCACTTCACATCTGCACTGTGACTGTGACCTACCTTCCTTCCTCGCCAGCTAGTCTTGGGTGTCCTCTCTCTGCCCCAGCCCACACCTGCCTTCTTCATGCCTCACACCCTTCCGGCCCCTTCGCTGAAAGCACAAATGGTGAAATCAGTTGTCGTCCCCATCTCTAATATACTAAACCTAATGCCTCTGTGGCAGGCGGCCCCTGTCTAAAGGTTTGGTGTTACCTTGTGCTGGGGGTTCTGCTGCAAACAGGCTCCACGGGATGGTCAAGCTGTCAGACATCCAAGTTTACATCACTGTAATTATTACAAGTATTGACAATTTGCAAGGGTTTGGGGTTGTTGTTTTTTTGTTTTTTTTTTTGTTTGTTTGTTTGTTTTTGCTTTGTTTTTGTACAAAAGAGTCTAACATTTTTTTGCCAAACAGATATATATTTAATGAAAAGAAGAGATACATAAATGTGTGTACTTTCAAGGTTTTTTTTAATTATTATTTTAATCCTGAACATCTTCCTGAGAATAACATTCCCTTACACATGCTGTGGAATAAAATTAATTGTGATGAGTTGGGGAGCCTGTGTTTTGATTTGGTTAACTTAGGTGCTTGCTACTCGGTCATAAGCTTCACTCGTGAGCTTGTCAGAAATGTGGCATCTTTGGCCCCACCCCAGCTCTCAGAATCAGGTGATTCACGTCCCCCACTGGCTGAGGGGACTTAACCACTGCTATGTCACCGTAGACTCTGAGCATCAATAAGGAATGTTATTTCTAAGATCATCTCAACTGATAGAGAAAATCAGACCCACTATGTGAAAATATGGCTATTTATGTTACACTGTTGCCTCCTGACCAGGACTTTTCCTCTTTTATTTTTTTCTTCCTTACTATTGTATAATGTATAGAACTGGCCAAATTCAACACATCATACTTTGAGGGAGCACATTTAGCTATGAAAAAGAATGCAAACCCATGGACTGGAAATAAATTAAGTCAAAACTAAATAAGCCTAACTATGAGTTAATAAGATATGGGTCAGAGCCCAGCAAAGGATTTTTCTGATGTCAGTTTCCACTGGAGGTGTATCTGGATCATAAACTCCGAGGGCCGGAAGGGATGTCAGAAAGGTCCAAGCGTGCAAATTAAGCATGGTTGCAGCACAAGTCACTCTGGGCTTGCCGCAGAAGTGTTAGATGCCTTCAGGTCACTGCTCTTTACCATCATCAAGATGTGCAATTACAGACTGACTTGAGTTGAGATGACATGGTCCAGAGCCCTCCATAAATTGCAGGGGAAAAAAAGTCCTTTAGAATCCATAGTAATTCACAGGCGATTATGCTTCCCATCAGAACACTCACACTTGACTGTCAAGTAGATGCTTCCTTTGTCATTAAGCATTAATGACATTAACCCACCTGTCCTTCCTATCAGGCACACTTATTGATCCAGCCATCATCATGATAAAATGATAAATACTAGGTAAAAGAAAGTAGACAGAGTCATACTATTTTTACTTTGAAGTTACCAGATCTGTCCTTGAAAGGGGAATTCTTTGGATCAAGGTATCTGAGGTCCTGACTCCAGGTTTAAGAGACTGATCTGTCCTAGAACCCTTGCTGGGAAGAATCAGCCCCTGTCTTTTTTGGCACTCGTGCTTTGGTACATTAAATAGAAACTAACCCTTTCTCGACTATGAAGAGAGCATTCTCCTAACTCTCCTTAGACCTCCTTCCTCTGCGGATGGATGAGATCCAGAGTATGACATCATTTTTTCATTTTGCAACAATATGAAGCAGGGTTGCTGTCAATATTTGGACAGCTCATCTTGTGTGTCTTGACTGACAACGCTTCCCACACAGCAAGCCTTCCCCTCCAGCTCAGCCCCTGCAGCCTCAGGTTTCTAAGCCTGGATGGATGAATTGGCCAAAGCCAGGGAGGGGTAAAGTAGGAAGCCCAATTTTATCATCCGGTCTACACCGCATTCCCCAGTTCAGCTTTACCTGCAATAAAACTGGTCATTGCTGATATTTTAATTCCTGTCTAATTTTTTATTTAGAACCTAAAGCAGGAAGGATAATTAATTGGCCCCCTCAGACTCAACTACTTATAAGGGTAGAAAAACCTAACAGTCGTTGCAAAGGAAAAGTACCAGACTAATGTTTCTTGAGTCTATTTGCAAATCCATCCTAAGCCATCTTCCAATTCTCAAGTAAAGCATGTCCTACCACCTCCTCTTACAATGAACTCAGCAGGTATTCCAATGACATACATTCCTTTCACCCATTTTGTTATAGTTATGCGATATTTTACAATTAATATAAACCTTTGGCTTGAAGGAAATGAAATATCCATACCCTAATAAAAAAAAAGTGCTTAGAGCTAAGCACTAGGAATATAACAAGAATAAGATATGTAAATCTAGAGTTTGCAAAAATAAGAACGAAATCTGTAAGATCAGAAATGTATAATCAAGCTAGCCAAATACAAAACAAATAATTGCAGCACAGTGTGACAAATAGTACTATATAAATATGTACAAGGTAGAGAACTAGAAAGGAGCTTGTGCTCAACACTTTTGATAATGGGATTAAGTAAAGCAAGAAAAGAATAGATATTTGAGTCTGGTCTCAAAAGAGAGCAGTTGTTCCCCATGCAAGAGACAAACACTCCAGGCAGAGCAAAGTGTACAGGGCATGGAAGCATGAAAACCCGTGACCGTTCACAAAGCCATAAGTCACTAGGTGTGACTGGTATGTAGGATGTATATGGGAGAGACTACTGCAGAGGAGTGAGACACAAATCATGAAAATCATGACATAGCTTGCAGGGGACTTTTACTTGAGGGCAAGAGAGCGCAGTCAGAGGAGGGATGTTGTCAGATATACCATTCGGAAATATCGCAATGACAAAACACCCAAGTAGGGGAAAGACAGGAGCAGGAGAAATTGAAAGAGATGTTAGCAAAAAGTGAATGGAAATAGTCTCAAGCCAGAACCACTGTGCCCAGACTCCGGTACAGGCGATGGCAAAGAGGAGAGCAAAGGTATTGAAGAGGCAGGATAGCTGTCTCTGAAGTCATGGAGAGAGAAGAATGCAAAGGACTCCTGGGCTTCTGGAATGAATAAGCAGATAACAGGTGTTTGGCTCTAAAATCAGGAAGAGAGGAGGGACAGGAGATTTTAGGAAATGATAAGAAGATGAGATCATAAACTGAGTTTGTTGGACTTCTCCAAACAAAGAAAGAAAATCTTGAGACAGTCATTTAACCACTGTGAGGCTGCTTACCTCATTAATAAAATGGAAATCTCATTACTTGAGAATACTGTGGATGGGGCGTCTAGAACCATCAGTGCTAAAGAAGTAAGTCCCTCTCCCTCCCCAGGTATGGCCTCCCCTTCCCTCCCACCCCTTTCTTTCCTTTGGTGTGAGCAAACCATCTCTATTATAGCTCAAACAAAATGATGTGTTTCAACCAATGCAGCCTGCTTTCTGAGAAAGATAAAAGAGCGAAGGAGAGAAAGGAAGGAAAAATGGAAAATTGTAACATACTTCTTGAAATAAGGATTTCTGTGACTTGCCGTAAAACCACAATTTAAAATAAATTTGGGGGAAAGGAGGTATGGTATAATCCCATATGAAAAAACAGTTCTACTCTAAATTTTTCTCTTAATGTAATTACATGTTTTCTGACATCGAAATGTAAAATGAACACTTCAAGTTAAGTAGGTTTTTTTAATTCACAAAAATAATTAGAACAGAGCCAGATGAAGGAAGGAAATAATTCTACCAGAAACATCATGTAAAGAGAGTTGCCAACTTGAACGCTAAATCTGAATTTCCTCCTGGAAGCTGGTGTAAATAAGGAAGCCAACTGGGATGTATAGCTCTCATGTTCTTAGTAAAAGGAAAAGTTTTATTCCATCACAAGAAAACAACCTTTCCCTGGCACCAAATTTTGGAGGAGACGTGCTATCAAAAGCACTTATCCCTTCAATAGACATCTCTTAGCAGGTGCTATTTGTCTGTCTTTCTGTTTTGCAGAAGAAACGGGTTGCCCCTACAGTCCCTTGAAAGATGGAAGCAAACAGGTGCCAGAGAAGGGACCATCTGGGTGCTGGAGGGGGGTTAGGGACAAAGTGATAGAAGAATCGGAAGAGGATCCTGGGAGTAGAGCAACTGAGGAAGGGTTGGACAAAGAAAGAGGTTCAGAAAGCATGGAGTGAAGCCATGGCCAGAAGAGGTGCTGGGCAGGAGGAGCAGGGTCCAGGAATCAAATTCCACAAGACTTCCTTTGGGCACTCTCTATGCACCAAGCACACTGCAAAGGGATATAAAAATAAATGAGAAGTAGACTCTGCCTTCAAAAAGCTCATAGCCTGAAACGGGAAAGAGAAGCAAATGAATACAATCCCTGGCTAAGGAGACCATAATGTACAATATACTGAGCTAGCACTTGCAACAGGAACTAACTGCCCCCGCCCAGAGGAAGTGAGGTCTGGCAGACTTGGAGGGGGGACAGGAAGCCACCAGGTGATAAGGGAAAGAAGGCCAAGCTCACTCCCTACTTGTCCTTTGAACCTCACTTTGGTCATCGCTTTCCCTGGAAATTATTCTCTAGGTTCCAAAGTCAGGGCTGGGGACTCCTCTGTGCTCCCACAGACACCTCTCCTTACCCTGTCACAATTGTTTGAGGCTTTCACTGCCTTCCCCACTAGCCAGGAGTTCAGTGAAGGAGGAACCAGGCTGATTGTTCTCACCACTCTTGTCCACTACCTTAGCACAGTGCCAGGCATCTAACTGGACTCCATCAATACTTTCTGAAATAATTGATAAAGGGCATTCCCGGAAGAGGTAAGAGTGCGAGGCCCTAGAAAGAGGAAACGTGTTATGGCTGGAACAGAGATGAGCATGGGAGAGACAACAGTAGGAGACAAGCTTGGGAAAGAGGGTGACGGACCTTGAATGACATGCTAAGCAGCTGCAAGTGTATTCTTTTATTTTTGTAAGTTTACTTATTTATTTAGAAAGAGGGAGAGAGACAACCAGGGGGGAGGGATAGAAGAGGATCCGATGTGGGCTCTGCACTGACAGCAGAGAGCTGGACATGGGGCTCAAACTCATGAACTGAGATCATGCACTGAGCCGAAGTTGGACACTCAACCGACTGAGCCACCCAGGGGCCCCATGTAAATGTATTCTGTATGTGAGCTGGGACCACTGACATATACACGTAGGAGAATTGGCAGGACCAGATTTGCATTTTGATATCACCACACTCATACCAGCAGCAGCACAAAACACAGTTTGAAGAAGTGTGGGTCTGGAGGTAGGGCAATCAGGCAGAACCTGTGTCAGAGGTGCTTCACTTTTCAGAAGGCTGACCATGCCAGTCAGTCAAATTTCTAGGATCAGACTGAGTCCCACAGAGATTATAGACATGGGCACTGTAAGAGGTGAAATTTAACCATCATTGCAAGGACAGAAATAAAAGGCAAAAGAATACATTTTTGAAGTCTAATGTACAAATACAAAAATAGATGTAAGACCAAATCTTCCTCAGGCTACCGG